TATCCCATGTAAAGTTTGTGCCATTTCATAAAAACAATTAAATTATCTGTGTTTTGCTACTAGGGAGCGCCAAGCTCTCGAATAACAGAGTTAACTACGCATCGCAAGCAATCCGACGGAAATGTCTCCAAGATTACGTGGATCTCATGAACATACGGGAAACATTTAACAAGACGCAAACTGTGTGTAACCAGGTTACGTTAGTCTAATGATTATGCCAGCTCGGCAAGGGACGGTTGAGTCATACTAGTCACATGTGAACATATGGTGCAAAGGAGTTAGGGCTGTTTTCCTGACTCACCCCTCTGCCCCTAACCCTGGATATAAGTCACATTAGAGAAAAAATCATACCTGGAATCTCTCCAGGGGACTTAAATGAGGTTACTGTCAAAACAGCTGTGAACTGGTATCCCTAAAACTTATTAATTTTTCAACGTCAGCCAACTACAAATGCGCTTACTGCAAAAATACGTGAATTGCGTTTTAGATTGATATGACTCAAGATACGTTTTGTGTTAATCTCTGCACAGCATTTATTCCCACTCCAGTTCTAGTTTTATCGTTTATGCGAAAACATTAGTTAACTCCCAGGTTGATAGTACTTTCAATTAAAGAATTTATAATACACATTGTCATAGCAAAAATAAAGTTCTTCCTTGAACTTCTTATACAAATGCAAAAAAAACAATAAAACCATAATGCACATACGAAAAGTTAATAGAAAATGCTTTAGCAATTGTAGAAATCGAAAAGACGCTAGTATGCGGAAACCTAGTCAAAACAATTACATATAATACAGTATGTGAGGCAATGTAAGCGATCTACTGACGGTAACTAGGAAGAGAAATTGAGGACACTGGAAACGTTGGGCATTTTGTGTTTAATCGTTCAATCTCTTAGCACAAATGCCTTTTCCTCGTGCAGAAAATATATCCAGGCAATTATATCCAGTGACATGTTCGTAAATTTGGGTAGACATAGACGTCGCAATAAATTTCAGCATTTTGTAGACTAATTCATGGCCGAGGCTCCGTTTGCACACCTGAGCACGTGCAATTTAAGCAGGCGATTATTTTACCCTGGAAAATTGTTTTTTTTGTCTGACACCACACGTGGGAATCAAGTTTCAAGTCCGCTGGTTAGTTTTAGAGAATCGCACATTTTATCGATTTTTAAAAGTCGGATTAACAAATCTGTGTGATTTCGTGTCCTTGAGTGCCGTAATGGCGTTACCAGTAAAACCTCCCAAATGGAAGAGAATATGCGCATTCCAGGTTCTTGTTTAAAAGAAGACGAAGGCACGACCACTGGGACGGTAGACTTATTGGCCTTAGCCTTCGAACTCGAACTGGAGTTCATCAGCAAGGACTGCTAGTGTGCAGCAACGTGTGAACACTATCTCTTGTCGCCACTCCCACGCGGGAGGAAGGCAGAACGGCCTGGACCCCATCGTTTTTTTCAGGTTGTATGGTTAGTTTGTAATACATGCCGTTATAAAAGTCCCTTCGCTATCCTTGTTTATTCGTCCCGCAAGAAGTACTGGCAGTGAATCGTAGGTAGTTCGGTATTTTAATATACTTTGAGAAAACAACTGAGCAAAAATAAACGGTTACTTCTCGATGAAGCAAAATTAGCACCCGTCAGATGTGCGCTTAAGGCCAGTGATAATAGTCTAACTGTGCGTTCGACTGAATTACATTAGGTGTGCAAACTCATAAAATGTCAACTGAAATATGGAACCGCGTTTCCGTTTCACAAAGGACGATTTACTTATCATTTAGCATAATTCAATAATAAGTCTGTTATTCCGGGATGCTAACTTTCGAACGCTTGTACTTCCGGCCGCATACAAAAGCTGTACTCTGTAAAAATGACTGCATATATAGCATGCCTTTTTCCAACTCTATCAAAGTACGCACTGACGTCCGCAAATTGGGGTCGGAGTGTAGAATCGATCCAGCGCTCACACCTTGCTTAGTCAAGTGCGCTAACCCCTACGCCACCGCAGCACGTCGACGAGCGATAACATATAGTCTACTTGACTTTATAGACGCAGAAAATGCAGGCCAAAGCTGCAGTGGATGACAGATTCTAGCCGCCAAGGTCAATTATCTTGAGGAAGAAATCACAAAGATAAAAGCCCAGTTGCGATGCAGTCTAGACCAAGCTAACGCTAGCAATATGCCTACTGGACGAGTAACCAGAAGTAGGGCAAAAGCTCCATGCATAATAGGCACGTCAGCACCTATTACAGCGGCCCCAGAAGGAATAGCTAAAAAGCGAGAAAATATCGACCAGAAAGGCAACCCAAAAACTGAAGAGAAAAAGAAATCCAACTGTAAGATGGCCGAGAAAAACGGACGGCTACTTCCGGAAGATGCCTCTTTACCGACCGAAGCAGAGACATTGACAGGTGCTCCGCCCCTCATGACAAATGCTGTGTGTTCAAACATCTTTGCTGACTCTCAGAAACAGTCCGAGCCAGATAGACCTAGTACGAGCGGTGGAATCGATTCATCCATCACAGGCACAGAGTTCTCTCCGCAGTCTTCTCTACCAAGCGCTTCTTCTAAGGTTGTCAATCTAAGAGTCAACCAAACAGACGGCGTAAGCGCATCTGCTCCACCATCACCAGCGCGTAGTCCCAGAGCGTTACGTCATTTAGGGAACCAAAATTCCGTAGAAAATAAAAAAGAGACCGACAGAGAACAATGTCTTATTATTCAGGGGTTCCCTGAATCAAGTGCAATTACTCCCAAGGAGCGAATTTCGGAAGACCTTTCACTCTTCCAAGGTCTTCTCAATAATATTTTGGAACCCACAGAGGCTATTGAAGTGATCAAAGCATTCCGCCTTTGGAAAACGAGTAGATAATCCATCAATGTCCATTGGTCCCCGGCCTCTTAAAGTTGTGCTGACCAGCAGCGACCAAGCCAGTCTCATTTACTCCAGGCGATTCAGGATTAAAGGCTCCAACCCAGGTGTTTTTTTTTCAATCGGACTACTCGCCAGCCAAACGGCTCAAACGTCGTCAGCTAGTTCTAGAACTAAGAAGGAGGCTCAGCGAGGGGGAGAACAATTTAGTAATATACAACAACCAAGTACGGCGGCGTCCGTCACTCTTCCTTTGGACAGGTCCTGTCCGAATGACCGCTCAGCCGACATATTAAGTGAAGGCGCTAACGCAAATGTTTCCACATCTTCCGTCAGCCGGAGATTGAAATTCGTGTACACCAACGTGCAGAGTTTGCTATCAAAGTTCGACGAGCTGAAGATCCACCTCTGCGACCTATCCCCTGACGTAATCTCTTTAACAGAAACCTGGTTGACCCAACACGTGGACGACCGTGAGCTGGCCTTGCCTGGCTACCAGATGTTTATAAGGGATAGGTTAAGGGCGTCAGGGAGGAGGCGTACTCACGTATGTAAAAAATGGGCTAAATGTATCAGACAAGACCGATAACTTTTCGTGCAGTTTAGTGGCAATCTGGTTGTCTATTAAAGTGCCGAGCTCGCCTAGCCTCGATGTCCTGACAGTTTATCGACCGCCGAGACGGGACAACATGGCCGACGCTCGCCTGCTCGAGGAGCTCGAAAAGTTCGCTACGCGGCCGGATATCCTAATCATGGGCGACTTTAACGCGCCCCATATTGACTGGAGCTCAACCCACGAAACTAGCTCAGGACAGGCCTTCGATAGGAGTTTTCTGAACACGGCATTGAAGCTATTTCTCACTCAACACGTCATGTTACCAACTAGAGTACGCAAAGGCCAACAAGCCAACTGCCTTGATCTTGTCCTTACGAAGTCACAGGACAGCATTGATGAGGTGTCATTCCTAGCCCCCTTAGGTAAAAGTGACCACATCGTTCTTCTATGGGATTACTCGCTTTTTTCCATGCCCACGAAACCCGGGACAGTTAGAAGAAACTTTTGGCGCGGGGATTTTGACCAAATGAGGGCTGAAATTTCACGCATTGAGTGAGAGTCCATATTTGTTGGGAGCATACTCGAAGACTGGCAACGGTTCCGAGAAATTCTGCACAAGCTGATCGTAAACCACTGTCCGCTTTCACGGAAGAGGTTAACGAACAGACCTCGATGGCTTACACAAGCCTTGAATAATGAAGTGAATAAAAAAACGACGGCTGTGGAAAAAATCGCTTTCTGACAGGAGCCCCACATCTATATGCGCGTACAAAATTCAAAGAAATCGAATCAAGGGTCTTATCCTCAAAACTAGAAAGGAATTCTAACGGGATCTGCTTAACCGTGCCTCGGAGAACCTTAAATTATTCTACGGTTACATTAGGCAGTGCACGCGGAACAAGGACCCAATACCCCTGCTAAGGACTGCTGAAGGCGAACATCTCACCGACGACAGGGCGAAAGGTGATCACCTTTCAGAATTTTTTCGGTCTGTTTTTAGTAGCGAAACAGGATTCAACCCTTCGGCCCCTCAATCCTTCGAAGACACCACAATTATAGAGACCGTCCAGTTCACTGATGGTATGGTTCTGATGGAGTTGCTGAGGCTAAAAGAATCCAAATCACCAGGGCCCGATGAGATTCCGGCGAAGATTTTGAAGGAACTCGCCGGTGAGTTGTTTAAGCCACTCTCCATGCTTTTCCATACATCCTTCGAGACCGGATATCTGCCACCCGACTGGAAGTCGGCGTGTATTACGCCGCTGTACAAGGGCGGAAGTCGGGTCTCTGCGATCAATTACAGACCGGTCAGCCTCACCTCCATTTGCTGTAAGATTACGGAGAAGATAATAAAGCAACAACTAATGCAGTTCCTTGAACAAAACCATTTGCTTTCCGATTCTCAGCATGGATTCCGAAAAGGCAGATCCTGTGTGACAAACCTGCTCTACTGTCTGGAACACTGGACTTGGGCTGTTTATAGAGGACATATGGTGCATGCCATCTATATCGACTTTAAAAAGGCCTTCGATAGTGTGCCTCACCACCGCCTTCTATACAAACTTAGCCGATGTGGATTCGGAGCTTTTTAATCGGACGCTCTCAAGCCGTCCACGTCGGTGACCAACAATCTGCCGAGGTTGCCGTTAAGAGTGGTGTTCCACAAGGCTCTGTTCTTGGCCATACATTGTTCCTCGCATACGTCAATGACTGCGCAAACGAACTGAATTGCGATGTCGCAATGTTTGCCGATGACATAAAGATCTGGAGTACCATACGAAGCGAAGTTGACGAGGCGCGACTGCAAACAAACCAAGACCACCTCGAGCAATGGTCAAAAGACTGGCTTCTAACGTTCAACGTAAACAAGTGTACTTTCCTACGCGTCGGCAGAACCAGTTCTCCTAATCACACGGTCTACCGTCTGACTGGCAAACCACTGCAAGAAGTCGACGCCCATAAGGACTTGGGTGTATTGATCACAACCTCGCTTAAGCCTTCGCTGCAATGTTCAAAGGTGGCCAAGTCGGCGATGTCCATGCTATACCTTGTCAAACGGGCGTTCTCCTCCTTTGATGAGCACTGCTTCACCAAGGTCTTTCAAACTTTTGTGCGACCGCATCTGGAGTTTGTTATCCAAGCATGGCGACCCTGGACAGCTAAAGACTTGGGCATACTCGAAAAAGTTCAACGGCGAGCAACGAAACTTAAATCTGGGCAGTGGTCACTACCCTACGAAACGCGATTAGCTAATCTTGACCTCTTTCCTTTGAGTTACAGACAGCTACGTGGGGACCTGATACAAGCTTTCCGCATCGTGCGCAATCAGGGCTGCTGCCTCGCGTTTCCAGACTGCTTCGAGTTGGCGACTACGACTAACCTGAGAGGCCATCCACTCAAACTGCGCGTGGCTGGTGCCCGGCTAGACACCAGAAAGTTCTTCTTCTCCAACAGAGTGGTTGCAGCTTGGAATGCCTTGCCTGAGGATGTTGTTATGTCAGGCTCGGTAGATACTTTTAAATGGAGACTAGATTAGCATTGTAGCGCGCACCACAACAACGTCGGTCTACGGCACCTTGACAGCCAACGCTGTCAATTTAGTGTTATAACGATGCTACTACCAACATTTAAGTAATATATGTTTGTGTAATTTATTAAGCTTGGGCCGCGTCGCACACCGCTGTTCGCAATCACCACGATGCCTGTAGACTAAACAATTTTAAAAAGTCAAGTTGGCGAACGCACGTTTTCGGTAATTCTTCCTCAGGCCAATACAATTACATGAAACGAATGAAAATGTTCAAAATCAACAGTGTTTATAGATGCCTCAAGGGCTATTAAGTCACTAACACTCATCATCGCCACGCCGCCCGCATGAGAAGGTCGGCGGGTGTTAGTCGTCAGGGCTAGGGGAGGGGGGTAAGAGAGTCTTTGAGTAATGATCTTGGGTTGAGTACACGGAGTACCCATCATCGTGATTAGGGATTTGAGGCGGCATGGCTTCATCACTTGGGGTTGGCGTTGGCGTTGGCCACGGCAGCGAAAGCGCTTGTGTCAGAGTTTTCTGACAGCATAACACCGGATTCACTAACCGTATAGCTACTGCCTCTGCCGTTGCTAGTATCCGTTGGCGTAGGCCTTTAGAGAAGCATGTTGGTGTCCGGTAGACAACCTGAAATGCTTTCTTGGCATCGACTCGGTGGTTCGTATCGATTAAATGCACGAGAATAGAACTCGAAATCGACCGGGTCTCACCTCTGTCTAGCCAGGCGGGCATATGTTCACGTACTCTCTTTAACAGGCGTCTCGTTGTGCGGCCGATGTATCCTGCTCCACAGGAGCAAGTGAATGAATAAATGCACATTGATGTGGCCTCCAACGGTAGTCTGTCTTTACCTCCCAAACGTAGGAGGGGAGAGTTTGTGAAGCATACGCGTAAATTCGCCGCAGGGAATGCCCTCGTGATAGCTGTAGTTAAGCGCCGTCGGACTAGTTCGCTCTCTGCGTCTCCTCTAAAAGGCAATCTTATGAATACATCCTTCTTTTCCGCAGTCTCAACAGTGGGCTTTTCAACGCGTTCCCCAATATTTCGGAGGATGAATCTATCTGGGTATCCGTTCTCCCGAAGTGTGTTCCGCAGCTGTTGAAGTTCTTCTTCAATAGCTTCAGGTGAGCAGATGCGTCTCACTCTAGTCGCCAATCCCTGGACTAAATTCCGTTTGATGTTAAGGGGGACAAAACTGTGGAAATTAACATATTGTCCCGTCCAGGTTTTCTTTCGGAACACCCTGCGCTGGATAGACCCATCCTCTTGCCTGTGCAGAAGGACATCGAGAAAGGCAACTTCGTTATCTGCCTTGGTCTCTGCAAGGAACTTTAGCGAGGGGTGCGCACTGTTGAACTTTTGGACAAGCTCCTCGGTATCGGTGGTACCATCTGTCAGGCAGAAGATATCGTCCACGTACCGACGGTAGAAGACGAGGCCATTAATGGTCTCTTGCAAGCTTGTTTTCTCGACTTTGCCCATAAAAACATTTGCAAGAAACGGTCCAAGGGGTGATCCCATTGCCACACCATCTACCTGCCTGTATAATTGACCATTGCACAGAAATTGGACATTTTGTGTGCAAAGCGTCAGTAGTTCTTCTAGCGTTTTCACAGGCATGTCTATAGCGTAGTTCGTATCACGAATAGCATCAAAAAGATAGTTTATTGTTTCTGCCACGGGTACGCTGGTAAACAGCGATGATACATCCAGTGATAACATCCTCCGTCCGCCAACGTTCATATTTTTGATAGCCTCGACGAACTCAAAGGAGTCTTTTAAACTTCGAGGGTATAGGTAACTTTGCAATGGCTTTAGTTTTTCCACTAGCCATTTTGCAACGGTATGATAGGGCGAATTCCTCATATCCAAGATTGGACGTAGAGGCAGCCCTTGTTTGTGAATTTTAGGAAGGCCGTACATTCCTCAGACCGTCCTTCCCAACAATCCGGAACGGTACGTGCACAACTATTCTTCAGTACGTCTTGATAAAGATCTCGTAGAGGTACTAGCTCTTGGCCCTAAGTTTTGTATTGCACGGCGGATGCCGAAACAGTTAGAGCTAGAAATTCAGTTTGAGAGTCTCTTTAGTCAGACTGCAGATCTAAAACCCACCGAAGGTAGAGAAGTTGAATGTCTTAAGTCGACTCTGGTTAACTGCTGCCAACAGTATCTAAGGAAGTCCCCGAGAAACAAGGGTCCCTTGACAAGGGCCCATATCGATAGTCTTAAGGAGCTTCGTAAAAACAAAAACATTGTGCTTACTAGACCGGATAAAGGTTCAGGAGTAGTACTGATGGATAGGACAGATTATGTGGCGAAAGTAGAGGAAATACTGTCGGATCGTTCCAAGTTCTCAAAATCTGAGAAAGATAAGGATCGCACGGAGGCTGCCGAGGGTCAGCTGACGACTATTCTCAAAGATCTCTGCAAAGAAGGCCATTTGTCTAGCAAAGAGTATGAATGACTGAGACCGGTGGGCTCGACAATACCAAGAATGTACGGCCTTCCTAAAATTCACAAACAAGGGCTGCCTCTACGTCCAATCTTGGATATGAGGAATTCGCCCTATCATACCGTTGCAAAATGGCTAGTGGAAAAACTAAAGCCATTGCAAAGTTACCTATACCCTCGAAGTTTAAAAGACTCCTTTGAGTTCGTCGAGGCTATCAAAAATATGAACGTTGGCGGACGGAGGATGTTATCACTGGATGTATCATCGCTGTTTACCAGCGTACCCGTGGCAGAAACAATAAACTATCTTTGTGACGTTATTCGTGATACGAACTACGCTATAGACATGCCTGTGAAAACGCTAAAAGAACTACTGACGCTTTGCACACAAAATGTCCAATTTCTGTGCAATGGTCAATTATACAGGCAGGTAGATGGTGTGGCAATGGGATCACCCCTTGGACCGTTCCTTGCAAATGTTTTTATGGGCAAAGTCGAGAAAACAAGCTTGCAAGAGACCATTAATGGCCTCGTCTTCTACCGTCGGTACGTGGACGATATCTTCTGCCTGAC